ATCCTCTGGCCAGCGTGGAAATCGTGTCCTCACGTCGAGCACGAAGGCGACATCGCCGACGTCGAACACCGTCTGTCTATCTATCTGCCTTCTTGATTTCCCTCCTCCGTCGCTTCCTCTCCTCCTCCCTCGTTTCCATCACTTTATCTAAATCCACCCGTTTTAATCTCCTTCAAACATGGACAATAAAAGGTAATTTATTAAGGTTTCATCGCACCGCTATCATCTTTCATTCTTCCTGGCTCATTGTTCGCGACAAAGGAATCATTAGCAATATAATAGTGTTAGCGGGTGCTCGAACCGCGCCGATTCACTGCCTCGTTCGCAGCTTCGACCACTGCAATCGCCTTCCCTCCCCCTTCCAGCCTCAGCCCTGCCCCCCTCGCTCGCCAACGTTTGCGCTAACGAACCTGTGATGATCTTATTAACGACAAACTTATTTACGTCTGCAACGACCGAGGTATAACGACCTAGTTTAACATGATTCACGACCGTGTCCGAACTCCCTCCGGCTCCTCTGACGACACAACGCACGACCGGTTTTCCCCGCGCATGATCCGCGCGCACCCGCGCCGCGCCGCCCGTAAAACAATAACCGGACGTATTCCATAATGCTTATTACATTATTATGCGTCTGATAATTGTCTTGGACAAGTTAAACCATCTCAAGTTAGCGAACAGAGTTACACTTGATATAACAACTTAATGTAATCCAGCCGGCCGTGTTCCCTAGTTCAAGCGAGGCAATAACAATAATTAGACTGCAGCGCGAGCGTACATCCAGCCCTTGCTTGTACCCACACATGCCGAGTGTGCACACCTTAGGCGAGTGATGCGCGGGGGAGCATGGGCCCATCAGCACGGAGAATGGCCGCAAGCAGTGTGCAGAATGAAAGCGAAAACTGGCGAGGAGCTTGCAGAATGACGGGGAAAAGAGAATGACTATGATCTAAAATTGATTTCGAAACTTCAAAAGCAACAAAGAAGAATAATGAAGGTTACATCCTTGTAGAGAAAATCACTAAACGGCACAAAAGATGAATGGCAGTAGTGTATCACTCGCAGAAAGAAGTGAGAAACAGATAGATGAGGAGTAATAAAGCCGTAAAAGTGGGGGCGGGGCCGAGGAGGAGAGCCTGAGGTTCCGGGGAGCAGGAGGCGGCCGCAGACGGACGGCTCCTCGATGAAGACGCGGCACTACGGCGGACGGCGGACAGGGCCACGGGGACGGGGAGGCGTGGAAGACAACCGCGGGATGAAGGTGGACGAACAAAACGAAGAAAGTGGCATGAAGGGCGATGAAGGAAGCGAAGAAACAAACACGCACAAAAATATTTACGCCAAGATTTCCAACGTTCCAAAATACGTATGGGATCCAAATTCAATCTACGAAAACGTATTATATCAATTCATTCTACCGCTTGAAGAGTCATTACAAAGGAGGAAGAGAGATTATTTTTCTCAGACAGTCGATAGAATTTACACAGGCGACCCCACACCCCCATGGAATTGGGAGGGGGGGGGGGGGCCGCACGAGCTTCGAAGACACGCCGGCATTCCTCAAAGAGCGGCCATGATGCGTGCCATCTGTAATATTCAAACTCTGCCCTCTGTCACTGTCATTGGTTATGAAGACAATTTTTCATCGACAATTATTAATGACTCCTCCCTAATCAAGATTCATCAGTTACCTTGAAAGAAAAAAACTCATTAATCAGGATCCCCAACCCCTAATAAATATTAAAAATGTAAAATCTATTAAACAATAACAATGACTAATCATGGGGCATGGGACTCCCCCCACCCCTAACTCCCATTCCGAGGATCTCCCTTTCCTCCCTCCCTCCTCCCCCCCCTCCCTCGCCCACCCTTTTCCCTTGGGACCAAGCTATCCGGCCTGTGCACTCGCTCGATCTTTATTTCTTGTCGTTTCTATGTATGTCTGTAGTGTGTGTGTGTGTGTGTGTGTGTGTGTGTGTGTGTGTGTGTGTGTGTGTGTGTGTGTGTGTGTGTGTGTGTGTGTGTGTGTGTGTGTGAAGAGTGAGAGCGAGAGTGAGTGAGTGAGTGAGTGAGTGAGAGTAAAAGAGAAAGAGAGAGAGAGAGAGAGAGAGAGAGAGAGAGAGAGAGAGAGAGAGAGAGAGAGAGAGAGAGAGAGAGAGAGAGAGAGAGAGAGAGAGAGAGAGAAAGAGAGAGAGATGACCTTCAGATAATTCCACTTTGCTTCGTATCCCTTCCCTTGCTCTCTCGCCCCCGCCCTCCCCCCCTAATCTCCATCAATTAGAACCTTGGCTATTACATCCTCTGCTAGGGGAACGACCCATCGTTACGGCCGCATTTGCGCAACCCGAGGCATCCTGTGCTCATGCGATCATGAACACGGCCGCTTATGCAGAGGCTGCGCTCAAGGGATCACTTTAACCGGGCGCGCCGGATACGGAGGCTTCGGGCGCCGGCCTGCGCCTGCACGGACCGGCCGGATTATCAAGGCCGTTGCGGTATCGGCTTCGGCTTCGAAATAATCGATCAACTAATAAATCGGAACGATGAAATCGACTCGACCAAATTTATCGAGACGAAATCCGCCCTGAACGCGCTATGCATTGTTTCGCTCAGCCTGCTTAAATCAAAGAAATAAATTGGAAATTTCCCCGTCATTTCAACAACTCCTCTCATCGCATCATGCTATAACCTACAACAATTGCCTGGAAAACTTATCAATTTAATCCATAAATATATATCAGGGAAACCGTGCACCCGATAATCACCCTTACGCATGGGCGACATAAGCTACAATATCCTAATGTTCGGATATTAGCTGTTCACCGGCACTCAGACACACACGCGAGCGCATACGTACACGCACACACACACAGCAGAAATGGAAGTCATCTCTCCTACCCGAAAAAAAAATGATACAACAATGATAATTCTTGTATGAAAAAAAAGAAAAAAAATACAATATGCACGACTTATCAAAGATAGAAAAAGGTACAGAGGAAAAATTTAACACACCCCGTTACATAAATCATATACTACAGGATCGAAGTCTGTGCATAATTAAATCCAGTCTTATTAATACAATAAACCGCATTATAAAAATCGATATCTGCGCCTCTGTTTTCCCTCCATTCAAACCCAGAGAGCGAGCGCAGACTACACCCCACACAACTGACAGTTATATTCAACCATGCTAAAAACAATGGCATACGCCCACAAACCACCCTGCCGCCCACTCTGGTATACCTTCAACACAACATACTCAATACGTTCTTGTTTTATCTACAGTATACAATAGACAGAATCGTACGTTGTGAATAATTTTCAACGTAAACTATAAAAAAAAAAATAGATGCATAAGTTATCGTCGCCGATAAGGGGAAGTGAAGTTTAATTCATTTGTTTCCTGTTGTTTTCTACGCGGTCTAGTAGTACTATTAACTAATTATGTACTTCGTACGTTAGGGTTCTTACGACCGGGGTGCGACAAAATCCAAAGGTTTCTAATTCACTACAAACATTTTTCTACGATTACATATTCACGCGCTAAGAGGCAGGGAGAGCAACTCTACAACCCTCCATGAAAAAGGTAGTATAGGAGGGAAAAAAAAAGTTTATTTTTATGGTTTATATAGAAGTGTGAAGTGGACGCATAAACAATTTAGGTCATAATGAACATCTTTGTTTACAATATACGGGTTGGAATTCACAGACACCACTTGAAGAGGTCAAGCACTCGAGATGGATTAGTCATTAGGGAGCGCAGCGTCGTCGCTTCAAGAACGAGGCAAAAGCTAAACTTTACAAAAAAAAAAAGGGGGGAATAAACCTTCATCGACGAGAATTATGGCCCGCATTAAGCCACATTAAAAACTCAATCGACAAACGAAACTAATCTTACCCTAGCTTAGCACCACCCAGACTTCCCTCGCGAGCCACGCAGCACTCGCGGGGCCTCGAGTGATGGTGGCCAGAATTCCAACTCGATATGAATTTTCTTCAGACTTTCTTCTTCTTCTTTTTTTTATTAAACTTCAATGCGAACAATAAACGGTAGTATTTTCCTTAAGTTTATGATAATGAAAGCTTTCAATCACGCACGAAAACAAAACCGATATTCATAAATTACAGATCTAAAATATTAATTCTCTTTCTTCCTTTGTTATGATGCAACCGAATATGTTTCATGAATGTTTGAAATATGCACTATGCCTTTTGTAATACGTGATGTGCCATCTAATACGCCGAACTACGCACCTCAGTCAAAAATACTTTCCGAAATATCCAATCAACCAACTAAGAGCTACAGTCAGTATTAAGGGGATTGTAAGTGTAAAATAAACAAAAACGGGATAGGGGTCAAACCAAATTGAAAATCAGTCTAATTCAAAAACAAAAAAAAATCAGAAATTTGAACAAAGACATGTAAGAGATGTAAATGGGATAAGAAAACAATGCCTTAGGAATAAAGAAGAAAAAATAAGAATACGAGTGCTCATCAAAAAACGGCTTGATAAACTTTCTAGCGTAAAAGGAAAACGAAAGAGAAAAAAAAGTGAATTCGACTTTAAAAGAACGAAAGAAAATAATATAACTGGATAGCAAAGAAATAAATAGCACTTTTTTGTTGAGCACAAATCCTATATTCCTCAACTTCGTGACGTCAGAATTCTATAGCTTCAGAGGCATTTACTCCATTACACTTCATTATTGGAAATCATTAATATGCACTAAATTCCAAGTTGATTTAATTGTCTCAAGAAAATGAAAACGAGCACACCAAGCTCCGCCCATATACACAACTCAACTCTAATGGCCTCGTTTCGAAGGAATATCGTATTAGGAAATACAATTCTATCGGAAACTACCACCACTCAGATAAGGCCTGGAATGAACACAAAGAAAACGGGGCGTGCTCGGCGTGCCAATATTTATGTCCGTCACTTGACCTGCGCCGACGGCCTGCTAGAATGATGACGTCACAAGCACCGACGTGTACTCACCCGCCATCGAGGTTCCCATCCAGTGGTGAGAGGATTCCAGAAGCTTGGCCTGTAGGAAGGAGAGAGAGAGAAATAAAAATCAGAGCCTGTATCTCACAGAAACCTGATATTAATTTAATTAAGAACATCTACACTAGGAAATTAATTCATTTCCCCATTTGAGGCAATACAAGGAGAGAGAAAAAGAAAGGGGGCTAGACAATGCTGTGAAATAATAGTTTGGATTCACTTGCAAGATTTCGAGACCGTTAAGGTTTCTACAGGAGATCAATATTCCATCTGATCGAGGAGAGAAGTTCTAAGCCTCGTGGCTTAAAATAGATTACAACCGTTATCTTTACTTTCATATAAGCCACTTTAATTACAATTGGTTACTCGCGATAAAATTAATGAAGAAATAGACGTTATCAGTCTCTCGTATCTACTCTGTAGAAGATAAGAGACGCCATAAATTTTGCCTCCTCGTACCCTCATGACCTCCTCTTCCTCCTCCTCCTCCTCTCTTCTCTTTATCCCACAAGAAAAAAATAATATATGTCAGTCAGAGTAATAAACAGATCTCACACAGACACCTGCCCACACGTACACAGAGCTCCTGGAGTACATGGGTATGTAATGATACCGTAAGCATGACTTCCGGCGTCGGGGCACAAGGATGGCCATAATCCCTCGTCTCGCGCAACGACCACAACAGCACCGGGCAGGGATTACCTTTGGGGACGCCCTAGCGCTGGGACGCGTGCGTGTCCGACATGAAGTATTCATCATTAAGCCTTTGTTTCTAGTGTCTTCCATCTTCCCTTCCTTCCTTCTTTCCTTCCATCCCTCCCTCCTTCCTTCCGTCCTTCCTTATCCCCTCCATCATCTTGGCCATCACCTTCTTCGAAGCCTGCCAGCCTCCTTGTCTCGCGACACCCGTAAGACATGCCCGATCCCCCCCCCCCCCCTCCCCCATTTTTAAACCTCGCTGTGACAGGCACTTCCCGTGTCTACGTGAACCGTGCCACTAAACGCAAGTCGTGACGTCACTGTGGGTAATATATGCAAAGACATGTGTTTTCCACGTACTGGCTGTATCCGCTGCTCAACTTGTGTCACGGGCGAACAAGGCGGAAGGAAGGGGGAGGGGAGGGGGGGGATTAGAGGAGGGAAGGAAGAGGGGAGAGGGAGAGACGGAGAGAGAGTGAGAGACAGAGAGGGGGGGAGAGAGGGAAGCAGAGAGAGAGGGATAAGAAGGAGAAAGAGGAGGAGAAGAAGGGGGAGGTGGAAAAGGAGAGAGAGAGAGGAGAGAGAAAGAAAGACAGAGAGGGAGGAGAGAGGAAATCATGGTGCAGCCTCTAGGTCAAACGACACCCCTCCTCCCCCCTCGTCGCTCCTCTCTCGTCCCTCTCCTCTGCCATCATCTTCCGTTTCCCCTCCTCTCCCCCCTTCCCTTCCTCTTCCCCTCCCCACCACCACCTCCCCCCCTCATTCCCCCCGCGATGTCGCCTGAAACATAACCTAACACCTGTCACGGCGGCGGAAACCAGGTGTCGCGGGCGCCTGGCCGGACGTTCACGCGGAAGAGAAGAACAAAAGACTAAGAGAGAGAGAGAGAGGGAGAGGGAGGGAGGGAGAGAGAGGGAGAGGGAGAAGGAGAGAGAGGGAGCGAAAGAAGAAAACGAAAAAAGAAAAAAAGTGACAAGAGCGGGCAGGAGGAAGCAGGTCAGAGAGGTAAAATGCTTGCCTCGCTGATGTGTGTGTGACCTGATCAGCAGAGAGAAAGATAAAACAGAGGGCAGGATGGAATAAAAGTCGCAATGAGCTTAGTGACACTGTTCATCAGCCGGGGGGGGGGGGGGGGGACTCGAGGGGGACTCTGGGAGGGGGAGGGGGAAGGGGGGGAGACAGGTGGCGCCCATGACATATTAGCCTCCAATGACAAAACGTCTTTAAAATGTTAGATAAAGCAAAGGCCGCGGCAGCACAATAATAAACTGATAAGCGAGAAGGAAGGTAAAGAGAGGCGGGGGGGGGGGGGGCCCTTATAGTGGTATGGGCCTATTTACAATAATACAATAATAAGTTACGTCAAACCTTATCTCGCGGCTCACTCTCAAAGCCGGAGATAAAACGTGTTGATACCGGGGTCTCCAGGTTCTGCCGTGGGCGGGCGTATTATTGCGGCCGGAAGTACAGAAGCTAAGTAAACAACGTTCACGCAGTCAATTGGCAAAATGTTCAAAGTATGAATGGCAATTACGGATGTTCAATTGGCTTTATACAGTTGAAAGCAAAACAAAACTCTCATCAAGAATCGAAATTCGATTTATTTCCTGCATTTAGGGCAGCGTTCGCATACAGCCCGGATAAGCAAGGGACTCGAACCATTCACTCCCAGTCATCACCATCGGCACCATACCGGGAGCCCCCCCCCCCCTACCCCCGCCCCCCAGTCAAAGACCGAAAGGGATGTTCGATCAATGGTCTTCGGCGGCATCGTGGGCAGGGAATTAGGGGGTCGGGGGAGGGATAAGGGCGGGGATGGGGGGGTGAGGGAGGGATAGACAGTGTGCTAGGAGGGGAGGGGGGGGTAAACTAGCCAACCCCCACCCCCCCAGCGATGGCGTATGTATTGCGAGTCTGACAATTTTATGAGCACCTCGGATTACGCCATAGAACTTTCATGCTGACATTTATACATCCGAGGTAAATGTTGCAGCAACGCGAGATGGCAACAAACGATCAATCATTAACGTGACCATGGCTAACCGGCTGCCATCCCCCCCCCACCCCCTTTCTCCCCTCCCCCCCTCCCGTTACCGAACCCCATTTCTTCCCCTTACACTTGTGTTCCTCCCCCTCATCTCCCCCTCCCCCTCATCTCCCCCTCCCCCCTCCCCCTCCCTCTGGCGCATGAGACGACGCAATACACCCTGATGACCGCCCCCCCTCCCACCCCAACACCGATAACCCCCCCCCCCCCATCTCCCCCCAACATGCAATTCGATCCCGATACGAACTTCAGCCTGGCTCGACCACTGTCATCGGCGATATAAATAATATCTGTCGCAAACCAATAATAGTTAGGTCCAAGTCGGGGTCTGTGCTGGGGAGAGAGAGGAGAGGAGAGGAGAGAGGAGAAAAGAGGAGAGAAGAGAGGGGAAAAGAGGAGAAAAGAGAGGAGAAGAGAGGAGAGAAGAGATGAGAAAAGAGGAGAAAAGAGGAGAGAAGAGAGGGAGAAGAGAGGAGAGAAGAGATGAGAAGAGAGGAGAGAAGAGAGGAGAAAGAAGAGAGGAGAGAAGAGAGGAGAGAAAAAAGGAGAAGAGAGAAGAGGAGAGGAGAGAGGAGAGAAGAGAGGAGAGAAGAGAGGAGAAAAGAGGAGAGAAGAGAGGAGAAAAGAGGAGAGAAGAGAGGAGAAAAGAGGAGAGAAGAGAGGAGAAAAGAGGAGAGAAGAGATGAGAAAAGAGGAGAGAAGAAAGGAGAAAAGAGGAGAGGAGAGGAGGGGGAGGGAGAGGAGAGGAGAGGGGAAGAGAGGAGAGTAGAAGCAATGAGAGGAGAGGAGAGGGGAAGAGAGGAGAGTAGAAGCAATGAGAGGAGAGGAGAAGAAAAGAGAGGAGAGGAGAAGAAAAGAGAGGAGAGGAGAAGAAAAGAGAGGAGAGGAGAAGAAAAGAGAGGAGAGGAGAAGAAAAGAGAGAAGAGAAGAGAGGAGAAGAAAAGAGAGGAGAGGAAAAGCAAAGAGAGGAGAGGAAAAGAAAAGAGAGGAGAGGAGAGGAAAAGAAAAGAGAGGAGAGGAAAAGAAAAGAGAGGAGAGGAAAAGAAAAGAGAGGAGAGGAAAAGAAAAGAGAGGAGAGACATGCAGGCCGAAACGACAGAACGACACACACAATAGACACACACGAGATGTTATAGAAAGGGATAGAAAGCTTGACAATACAGGCAGTCACACAAAAAGAGATCGCCGTCCAGATAGAATGGCAATGAGACACGGAAGACTTAATGAAAAAAAAAGTGAAGGTGACGATAGAAAGAAGAGGCTGGGGTAAGGGGGGGAGGGGAGTAAAGGCAAGGCTGAGAACCGTTATCGTTTCATCGATGTCTAAAAGAAAAGAACATACTGCAGAAGCTAAGCTAAGATTTTGGGATAGTATTAAGTATGAAGTAGGGGGGGAGGGGGGAGGGAGGGTGAAGGGGAGGGAGAGAGGGAGGGAGGGAGGGAGGGAGGGAGGGAGGGAGGGAGGGAGGGAGGGAGGGAGAGAGAGAGAGAGAGAGAGAGAGAGAGAGAGAGAGAAAGGGGGGGGGTAGGGGATAAAGATGAGAAGGAGGGGGGGGGAGGTAGCGAGGGAGCTGCACAGGAGACGCTTAAGACACGCCGGCGTCAGAGAAAGCCAACAAATCTCAGAATATCAAAGGCAGCCGAGGAACCAGCGACCAAGACTCAGTCAATAAATAACAGTACCAGAAATAGAAAAAAAAATATCGCAAGTAATAACCATCCTTAAAAAAAAAAAAAAAAATCAATCATGCACTGCATCGGACCCATGGTGCATTGACCAAGGTACGTCCGAATCCTTAAATAAATAAAAAAAATCGCCTTTACTCTTTCCCATCTCCTCTCTTACCACCACCCCCCTTTCCCCTACCCCTACCCTCTTCCCCACCCCTTTCCCACCCCTATACCAACCCCCCCCACCCCCCCCCCCACCCCCCACCCTTCAATACTTGCTGCACCTTTATACCATCGGATCATATTTGATCAGCGACTACAATGATTCTGGGACACGTCTCATGAGAGGGAAGCGGGGGTGGGGCGAGGGAGGGAGGAGGAGGAGAGAGGAGAGAGGAGAGAGGAGAGGAGAGGAGAGTAGAAAGTGGAGAAAGAAGTGGGAGAAGTGGGCGGAGAAGGATGGGAGAGAGGAGGGAGTGGAGGGAAAGAGAAAGGGGGCGTCCAAGAGAGAGAGAGGAGGGAGTGGAGGGAAAGAGAAAGGGGGCGTCCAAGAGAGAGAGAGAAGAGAGAGAGAAGAGAGAGAGAGAGAGAGAGAGAGGAGAAGAGAGAGAGAGAGAGAGAGG